AAAACTCGCACCTGATCGAGGCTTTCCTCCCACCAGCTGGTTCCAGCTTCTTCCCCCAGACTCGTGTCCCTTCCCAGGCACCCAGTGACCCAACCCTCTGGAGCCGCTCTGCCTGGGAATGCCCTCTCACCCTCCTCCGCTTGGAGGACACCTACTTGTCCTTCCAGGTCGTGATGAGGCATCCCTCCTTCGGGGAGCCTTCTAGATTCCTTGGGCTTCGTTTTCCCTTTCTGTCTCCTGTGGCCTTCTGTTCACAGGGGTCCTGCAGCCTCCTAGGTTGGGCATAGTCATCTGCTTCCTTGCCTGTCTTGTCTTCCAGACTGGGCTCCCCCAAGGCGGGGGCTTTCGTGGCTCTATTCCCAGCAGCAAGCCCAGCGCAGCACAAGTCAAAGGTGGGAGTGTGCTTATTCAGCAAATGCACCCAGGACAGAGGGGAGAGGATCACGGAAAAGCAAGAGGGATAAGAGAGGTGGTAGAAGCTTTGCAGAGGGGTGAGCCTTGAGTTGGCCCTTGAGGGGTGAGCAGACATTAGGTTGGAGGGTTGGATTTAGGATGGAGGGTCTTATGCAGTGGGGACAACGTATTAGAGGCCCCTGGAGCTGGCGGTGGGCAGGTGGCAGCAGGTGGGTGACGCTAGGGGTTGGGGTGGGAGTGGGGAAGATCCAACGGGGAATCTTTCTCCATGATGTTCAAGTTTCCTGTGGCTTGATCTCTTCCACTTTCTGCAAGCTGGCATCAGCAGCAAGAGAGTTTCTTGGGTTTTCAGAGTAACGCAATTCATCAGGAAACTTGGTGAAAACTGTGCTGCCCTCTTAGCTACATGCCACGGTAGAGGGTTCAGCCTGGCATCCGGGCACAGGCTCCTTTTGGGGTCATTTATTTGGGGCCGTGGATGGGTGGGTGGGTCCCACCAGCAGCATCAGTTGCCGCAGGCGCTGGTGGGTGCAGAGCTGCTTCCCGGAGCCAGGAAGGAACTGCGTCCTCAGACCTCCTCCTCGGCCGGCCTTCGCGGTCGCCTGGTGCCTTGGCTTCGGCTCATCCGCTCATTGTTTTTGGGTTGCTGCCTGGGGCGGGTGGCTATTTTGGGGGTCTTTCAGAGAATTCTAAAAAAATAAATAAGCTCCAAACTTACTTCTTATTCTTAGGGAATAAGTACATTTGAAGTGGTACACAAACTTAAGGATGCCTTTGCCAGCCGGGACAGGGTGGGGCTCTCCAATCATATTGACTTAATGGTTTACAAAGTGCCTTTTATAACTTAATCCCAGTGACACTGAGCACTAGCTGTGGGTCAGACCCTGCACTCAGCTCCTAGGGGTATCAGCCCATGTCATCTTTCCAGCAACCTTATGGGCAAGAGTTATCTCATTTTATAGATACAAAAACTAAGGCCTAGTAAAGTTATTTATCATTTGTAGTTTAAGGTCAAGAGGCCCAATATGGGACTCACTTACATTCTTCTTTGACTTTTCCACAATCTTGTGAACCGTCTCATTTAACAGATGAGAAAATCGAGGCCCGGAGAGTCATACAGAGGCACATCCAACCTGAACCCAGGCTCCTGACATGTGATCCAGCGCACTTCCCTCTGGCCAGGCTGCTGTGTATCAGCTGACAGATGCTGCTGTCCCGTGGGGTAGTCGTAAAGCCTTGGATGCAGGGTTCGCCTTCATTAGAGCAGTGGCAGGGGACGCAGCAAGTGCCCTGTGTATTAAGTGACTGTCATTCTTATCCAGCCCTCGCCCTCCCAGAGCACTGGGGCTGTCCCTCTGGTGACTCCTGACAACGGGTGCAGCAGATCAGTTGATGTCAACCTGCGCAGTGGCACGAGGTGGCTGCTGCTTTCTGCTATACTGGCTCCTCGCTGCCCCTGGTGGTGCAGCGGATGGTGCCTAGAAGCTCTGGCAGGAGTCAGTGCGAGGAGGGGATGGTGCAGGTGCTCCATCCCTCACTTCAACATCTCTGCAGGTGATACCCAAGTCAGGAGTGGGAACAATACTATATTGTTTTGTTAAACCTGAAACATACACCTTCGGTTGGAGGGGGTGAGATGCGTCTGTTATGGTTTAGTAATGATAAGGGCACTCTGTCTTTTCAGATGTTTGACAGCCACCTGCTAATCCCCTGAGATCTGGGAGCCGCACCCCCACCACTTTGCAGGGCGGTGGGCCCAGCAGCACACGGGAGGCTCAGGCGTCCTGGTTTAAGAAGACGCATTTGTACTTGCTCCTGACACTTGCTGGGGGGAGAAAAGGGCACGTGGATCTGAGTGAGATACCTGTGGGGTGGGGGGAGAACGCAGCACAGACCCAAGTCCCAACCCAGCTAACATTTATTGAGCACCTGCTGGGTGCACGTGCTCTGCTTGGCACTGCACCTGTAATGTCTTGTTTGGTCCTCACAGTGCGAGTCTCTGAGATCAGTGCTGTTTGCTCATTTGTTCCCTCACTCATTCATCAAGATTACTGAGCTCCTCCTGTGCACCAGGTACCAGTCTGGGTGCTGAATAAGGCAGAGAAACTCCTACCTCCGGGAGCTTACTTCCTAGTGGGAGTCAACCAGGGTAGCAGAGAGCAGCAGAGAGCTGGGCACCTCCGGGCCTGTGCTTCTGAACACCCTGTCCCTTGTTCCACCCTGACCGTATCACTCTCCACCTCCAGCCTAGACACGTAGACCTGTCTCTGAGCCCAGGTGCCACTGCACGACAAGTTTCTACAAATTGGCAACTGTGTTTTTAAAATCAAGAGGTACACAGGAAGGGGAACTGCAAGAAAGGAGCATACACTCTTTTTTGTAGGGTGCAAAACTGACGTTTGGTTTGTTTGAAGACTAGTGTGCTACCTTCCAAAGGATAAGCCACAGGGTTCTGTATATCGTGGGGATGGGAAGAGGGAGGGAAGAGGGCAACCCCATCTGGAGAAGGACGCCAGTGTGCTGTTGGCAAAGGGCAGAGGTTGTCCTCTGGGAAGAGAACACGATTTGCTCAGTTTCCCCCCAACCATTGGGTGAGCTGTGACTTTGGGAAGTTGTTTGACCTGCTTTTCATTTCTAGGAGACTGATAACACTTATGTTTTAGAACATTCTCCCTTATGTTAGTATCATGACCTAGAAGTTTACAAAAGACTTCCAGACAATTTTTGGGGGGTAAGCTTCTTACTGAGGTGTACTGTCCGTGTAGAAAAGGCAGAAACAATAAATGTACTGCTGGATGGGATTTTGCAGAGCACACGCATTGCAGAGCCAGCGCCACAGAAGCCTCCTGGAGTCCCCTCCAGTCCCCACCTGCCCCAAGGTGGTCCTCACACCAGGGGTTGGTTTTGCCCGCCTTTGAACTCTGGGAGAGTGGAATCACACGCTGTCTCTTTGGCTCATCCCTGCGTTTGAGATTCGTGGCTGCAAGTACTTGGAGTCAGTCGGCCCTTTCTCAGTCTTCCATTGTCTCCCATACACATTTGATGGTCACGGTAACCCCATGAGATACATGGATTGGGGACTGTTCCTCCTGTCTGATGAGGCAGGAAGCCCAGAGTTGGGGTGGGGAAGTGGCCTGCCAGGTCACGCAGGTCAGCTGAGGCGGGCTGGGGGTCCCCCAGAGAAGCCTCCCCTAGAGCTCCACTCCCCAGACCTCACAACGCTGCACTGAGCCTCCCCCTCATGTTTAGTGTAACGTGTTCTAGAACTTTCCCCTCCAGTTTCACGTAAGTCCTCTGTGCTGCACCAGAAGTTCATTTCCACATCTTCGTTTGTTCTGTAGAAATAGACGCTGTCCTTTGCATCTCTGGGAAATAACTCACATTCCCTAGACGTCACCCTTGGTTGGCCGGCTGAGGGATGCAGCCTTCATGACCTCACCCTCCTCTCAACCCTATAATTATCCGGGTTGCTCACCTCTATGCCCTTCCTTAGCTAGCCATCAGTCTCAAATCCTGAGCCCAGCTAGAGAACCCCCAGTGGGCTTGGCTCTCCTGGGGAGGTTGGCCTTAGGCAGTCATGCTGGGCGCCTTTTCCTCCAGCCTCCTATTGAGGTAGAAACATACAGTGAGAGGTGTCTACTTTGTCCTGAAAACACGCCCACAGTGCTCTGCTAGGCAGGCCTGTCCTCTCCCGTTGTAAACTCCACTCCGGCACAGCCCTGTCTGATGCAGGCTTACTGACGGGACATTCTGTGCTCCAACCTCTCCTTTCCCCTTGTTTTCAAATGAGCGTCTGTCATCAGGGAGACCCCTGCCTCCCAACCTCCCCACTGCAGCAGCAAACCCTGTTCATAACTCTTAAGTATTTATTTCTGGACCCTAAAGGTCAAACACCCTTCTGGCTCATGAGAAGTCTGGAACTGAGTCTCTCTGAGGAGCTGGGAATGGATTGTGGGTTGACAGCTCAGATGGGGGTGATTCTGGGACATGTCCCATCTGACAGCTGCTAAGGAAGTGACTTGATCTTTCTGGGAGTGATTTGTCCCTTTGCCTTAGAAATTGCCACTGGCTCTCTCTTTGGTCCTCCAAAAGCTTCTGGTTCTCCTTTTGAGTTATTCTGACCATGTTCCCTTATTAGTTGAATCCAGGTTTTCTGAATTCCCACTGCTGATTTTGCTTTTTAGCGAAGCTCTAAACAGCAAACACGTAGCATGCATAGTATTATTCCACCTGCTGGTGACAGTGTCAGACATTGCTAATCAATTACAGCACTCCTGTCCGCTGAGCCTGAACCCTGTCTTGAGTCCCAGAACTCCAGGCAGCTCCTGCCGTCTGTTTGGAGCTCACAGGCTTAAAATCTTTTTGCCATTGCAGCTCCAGGTGGTACAAACAATCCTGCTTTCTGCCGAGGAAGCTTGATTCCCTATGAAAGGGGCCAGAAGTGAAGGAAATCACCTTTCTGAAGTACTTGTTAGTTGCCTGGACTTTCTCAGGCAGGTCGGGTGGCAGGGAGTAGGTGCGGGGGGGCATGTCTTGCCCAGTGGGTATTTTGAATTCAGGAGTCCACATTCCTTTGCTGCTGGTGTCATTTGCTGCTTCCAGAATCACACTTTCAAGGAGACTTGAAGTTTGTAAATAAATAACTGGGCTCTCTCCCAGCCTCCTGAGGTCTCACAATGGCTGGTTGTTAGTGGAGTCCTCAGAATACATCCAACAGGATAAAAATGTGACTTGTGCAAGTCCCCAGTTTGGCATAGACTCACTTCCTGCTTCCTGGGTGAGACACCACCTGGCAGGAGGGAGGCCCTTGCTAGGGGCGGGGCAGCCCGAGGGTCACGGCCATCCTCCTCCTCGTGGCCAGGTTTGGTCTGGGCGCCCCTGCTCCTTATCCCATGTGTTTATTTCCCAGGCGGAACTCCAGGGCTCCCCCAGGTGCTCGCCACTGATGATCACAGAGCTGATGGTTCTCCTTTTCCAGCAGGAGGCTTAGGGCAGAGGGCAGGGTTAGGGGGCTCCTGGGAACATGGGTGAGTCCTCCCCGGTCCCACAGTTGTCACCTGCTCCCCAGTGCACTTTGTTATTGCTGGATTGGCTGGGGTGTATCGGCCTCAGGCCAGCTTACCTGGTGGTTTATAACCAGACTTAATCAAAATGTAAATACTTCTTAGGGCCAGAAAGCAGTTCTGTCCAGGTGTTTGAGCAGAGGCCGGAGAGCTGGGAGCCTGAGGAGGGGGCAGGGCCTATCGAACCCCTTCTGCACAGAGTCCGGGGTTCCTTGGGGCCCTTGCCAGGAGCCTCTGGAGGAGCCATTGTCACCAGGTGACAATGCCCCACCTGCCCCATCACTGCTTGTAGGTGCTGTCACCTGGGCAGAGGTTGTTCTGGTGGCAACAGCATCTGCTCCTTTCCTCCTTCCCTGGTCCCCTTGCACCCACACCCCCTCAGAGTCAGTGGCATTTCACAGAGGGGGCCTCTGGCTCTCCGGAGGTTGCTCAGTGAGTAGGAGGACACAGTCACATGGTTTATGGATGGGCCGTGTGTCCAGCATTGTTCTGGACTCCAAAGATCAGTAGTGACCAAGGCAGGTAGTATCCCTGCCCTCCTGTTGAGGTGGTGGCCCGGCAGTAAACCAGGAAGCAAACAAGATCGTGTCAGTTATAAATAACCTATAAACACTCAGACAGTGCTAATTCCCGATAGTGGTGAGAACTCTGGAGTCAGCGAGATAAAGCAGGACCAGATGAGAGGATGAGACAGACCCTGTGGGTGGAGTGTGACTGTAGAGGGGCCAGGGAGCCTCCCTGAAGGGGTCATGTTCTCAGACGTGTCAGAAAGGAGCCCACCAGAGATAGGCAGGCAGGGGGCACAGCTGGAGCAAAGCCCTGGAGGTGAGAATGGACTGGGAAGTCTGCGTGGGAACAGGATGAGGTCAGGCCACCTGGAGAGGAGTGCAGGCCTGGGGGAAGCTGGGGGCCGAGGTGAGAAGCATGCGGAGGGGCTAGTTGTGCGAAGCCTTTGGACATTATTCCAAGCTTTTTGGGGAGTCTTCCGAGGACTTGATGTGATTTGGGTTTGGACAGCTGTGGCTGCTGGGGGAGATGGTTTGAAGCAGGTGAGAACAGAAGTCGGAGAGCCGGCGAGGAGGCTGGTCTAGTTGAGTGACAAGAGAGGATACCAGCCTGGTCCAAGGTGGCAGCTGTGGAGACAGGGAGGGGACAGGCGTGTGTTTTGCTGTAGAAACCACAGATCTGGGGATGGACCCAGTGTGGAATATAAAGTGGGGGAGGGAAACTAAAGAATCCGGGGTGCCTCCTGGGTTTGGGACTCAGTGGGACTCCTCTGATCTACTCACCTCCCAGGTGGTGTCCCTCCCCTGGTGGACCTGGAGCCCTTGCTTACCTTAAAATGCCAGTGTGATGCCTGCCTCTTGCGGGCATCCAGTATCCTTCTTGGAGGGATTGACTCCATCTGCCTTTCTGGGTCCAGAAGGCTGGACAGTGTAATGTTACCTAGAGTCCGAGATGTTGGAAAACTTGGGGTTTAGTGCCTGAGAGGTTGAACCCTGGCTGAGGGGCTAGGGAGCGGGATGTGGCCAGGGAGCTGTGGTTGTCCCCAGTGATGGCACCTTGGGGACAACAGCGAGAGCTACTGTTGATTGAGTGCTTGCCCTGCACTGTGCCGAGAGCCGTACGTGCATTTTCACAGTTGTTCCTCCCAACCCTGAGCAGCCAGGTGGATGTAGAGAGACCAGGGCTCAGTGTTTGGTCTGAGGTCACCCAGCTAGTGAGTGGCTGAGCTAACCTACAGGCCTCTGACTCCAAGTATTAAGTCCTTTACCAGCACCCAGTGCTGCCCCTTCACCAGCCTTGTGCTGAGGGCCTTCTCCGTGCTGGTCCCTATCTAGGGCTGGGGGCCAGAGAACCCCTGCTCCTCTGAGCATGCACAAGAGGATCTCAGGGAATTTGCAGAAAGAGTCTTCTCTCTTTCCCTCCCTCTCTTTATCCCCTCCTTCCCTCCCTTCCCAAGAGGGCCTGCTGCCAGGGCTCAGGCCTGGTGGGAGCTGCAGGCAGAGGAGACCTTTGGGGCTGAGCAGGAGCTGTGCCAGCCCCCTTTTTGGGCAGCCACCACAGCTGCCTGGGCCTTGCCCTCCTCTGCTCTGGCACCTGCAGGGACACACCTGACCGATTTCCACTTGATCTGCCACTGCCTGTTCCTGCCAGGGGTGGGGAGCAAAGCTCCTCCGTCAGGTTTAGACAAACCCAAAGGGATCCCTCAGGGTCTGAGGATGAAAGTCATCCCAGGAGGTTATTGTGCCAGTTTTTCTGTAGCAGAGAGTGAGGGGAGATTGTTATTCTGATGTCCAGAAGAAGAGCGTGTGATGTGCCCACAATACCCAAACCTCAGTTCAGATGCCCTAGCCTGACAGGTGACCTTCTGTGTGTGTCCCTGTGAGGACAATACCTGGGACTCTGGGACTGAGCCAGTGGGGTATGGGTTTCCTGACTACCACCTTCTCCATGTCCCCCTGCTGCCCAGTGGGAACCCGTGGGGGTAAGGCTTGCTTCCTCCTCAATTCAAATTGCGTGTCCCCCCACCACCCCAGCCCCCTGCCCGGCCCATTGTAAACACCTAGTAAGTATTGGTTGGTAGGTTGAGTGAGTGAGTGAATGAATTACCCCTGGTCTTTGATGCTCCTCTGTCACTCTAGACCTGCGCTGTCCAAGCTGCTAGCCACTTGCTACAGGTGGCCACAGAGCCACTAAAGTGGCCAGTCTGAACTGAGGTGTCCTGAAATGTATCATCTATGCTGGATTTCAAAGCCTTAGTATGACAAAGACAGTGAAATGTCTCAGTAATAAATTTTCATACTGATTACATGTTGAATGGATATTTGATGTTGATTTAAATATGAAATGTCATTAAAATTAATTTTGCTCATTTCTTTTTCCTCTTTCAATGTGGCTCCCAGCACTTTAAGTGTATTTGCCTGTGTGGTTCACATTCTGTTCCTCTCAGACGATGCTGGCCTCGACTGAGGTATTTGTCTTTGAAAGGCCAAGGGACCTGGGCTGGAACCCCACGTCTCCCCTTCCTGCCTGTGCTACCAGAGCAGGGCTCTGAGCCTTAGTTTCCTCACCTCTGAAATGGGGCTGGCGAGTGGAGCCTCAGGGACTGGTCAGAATTAGTGCGAGGAGGCCGCTGTGACTTGTTGGGGTGGGGCAGGGTGTCTCGGCTCAGGCAGGCTCTGATTTGGGGGTTTGGGGCCAGGCCATGACTGA